TAGACTCACTGCTTCCCTAATCTGATTATAGCTCTTCCACAGCAGTCCTCTAATGTTAAGTATTTAGCTAATGTATATGTCCCTTTCTCAAACATGCAAGTACTGTTACAGAATTTCCTCAAGGTTGGAAAACTTTATACACACACACTAAATATGTAACTCAGCAGCTGAGGGTTGTTATTAGTTAGATGCTACTAGGTATACTTTAAAATTTAATCATAAAAAAATCAGGGAAAGGAAGCATATTAAAGGGGGGGGGGCTGGAGAGATAGCTCAGCAGTTAAGAACACTGGTTATTCTTGCAGAAGAGCCAGGTTCAAATCCCAGCACCCACATGGCGGCTAACAATTGCCCATGACTCCAGTCCCAGGGGATCCAACAGCCTCTTCTGACCTCCAAGGGCATTGCACAACACGGGTGCACTTACCTATATGCAGGCAATACATGAATACACATAAAATAAAAATAAAAAAAAAAACAAAGCAAAAAACTTACACCATTTCCAGTGTAATCTCACCTATGCACACCACTGTTCCAAGGAAACCAGCAGGCTAGAACTTCTCCACTTTTTAATATACAATTTTATGTGTATAAGTATACCGCCTGCATGTATGTAAGTGCACCCGTGTTGTGCAGTTCCTGTGAAAGTCAGAAGAGGGCGCTGAATCCCCTGGAACTGGAGTAACAGACATTGTTAGCTGCCTTGTGGGTGCTGGGAATCAAGCCTGGGTCCTCTGCAAGAGAAGACAGTGCTCTTAATCACTGAGCCATCTCTCCAGCCCCATGCATGAACCTTTAGAACCAAGAAACCGAAGTCTAACTTATAAAGTTTCCAAAAATACTTTTCATTATCATGGCCACTTGTTGAAAAGCCCAGATTTCCCTTTCGAGAAAAAAAATCCTATAACAAGGAAGAACATTGGTCTAACTTATTTTTTCTCCCTCCCCCTGGAACTGAGGCCCGAACCCAGGGCCTTGCGCTTCCTAGGCAAGCGCTCTACCACTGAGCTAAATCCCCAACTCCTGGTCTAACTTTTTAAAAGGAGTCTAGCTTTCAGAGGCTCTTTCGAGAAAAAAAAATTCTATAACAAGGAAGAACATTGGTCTAACTTATTTTTTCTCCCCCCCGGAACTGAGGCCCGAACCCAGGGCCTTGCGCTTCCTAGGCAAGCGCTCTACCACTGAGCTAAATCCCCAATCCCTGGTCTAACTTTTTAAAAGGAGTCTAGCTTTCAGAGGGACACACATATGAAAATACGCAAATTCTGTCTCTGGTTCTTACACAGTACTTGCTATGTAATAGGTACTCACTAAACAATTACTACTGATCTTCTAGTATTACTTGTAATAAACACAAATTGTATTCTTATGTTGAACCACCAAACAAATCTGCAGTATAGTAAACAAGTCCAGATAATCCCTTATCCTCTCATCTCACAGTCTCACTACATCAGCACTAATTAATTGTAAGTGGCTGTTTAAATTTAAAACTAAACTGGTTAAAAGTAAAGAGTTTTAAGTTTCAGTTCCTTTTTTGCCACATTGCAATTTTTCACATTTCATATGTTCCATAACAACCGGAAGTTAGTAATTACTATGCCAGGCAGCACAAACAGGGAATGTCTCTATCAGTGCAATAACTTCTACTGGACTCCTCTTCCAAACTGTTTATTAAACGTGTGACTATTTCATGAGCCACCTTAGGAAATACTGTACAAACCAGCATTAACAGAAACATATTATGAGCCACATAAGGAATTTAAAATTTTCTAGCAATCACACCTTAAGAGAAATGGGTAGATCTGATTGATCTTGCCTTAACCATAAATCCAAGATAATTATCATTCCACCAATGTAACCAAATCAGCAATGAGATTTTACACTGTGTTTTTTACTGTCTCTAAGATGTGACCTGTAAGCCAGGCATGGTGTCGTACACCCAGCTTAAAGCCTGTCTTTACTCTCTGCCTTCCCACAGCCTCTTCTAAAATGAAAAATTCAAATCGTGTGGGCACTCCTTCCTCTGCTGCCTGCTCCATCGCTAACTCTTGCACTTACCCTCCACCCCCTTTTCTCAATAATTCCAACTCAAAATGATTTCAGAACTCTTCATGGACGCCTGACTTACACTTGTGATTATCCCTTTAATAACTCCTTTGACTCTTATATCCATAGGTAGCCCCTCTTTGGTCTCCACGTTGATCCCTTCATCCAGAACACTGCTCAGTGTGACACTCGGAGTCAGTAACATCCTCCTGATGCTCAAATGCAGATGCCAACCTCTGCCCCAGACACCAGCCCTGACAACTCACTCTAGATGAGGAGGTCCCTCCCAAATCCCATGATGTCCAATTCCAGCTCAGAAGTTGGATGGGTCACTATCTATTACCCTTGGGTTTCCTCCTCTAACACCCTGTCCTGTAAAATCATTCCGCTCCTTTTATTTTTATATATAAACAAAAAGCTGGAGTGTGGACTGTAAGCAACAGTCTTGCTGTTCAGGCCACAGCCCCTGCAGCAGCCCTTCCACTCTCACAGATATCCACAAGCACCTACTGAGATACTGTCTGAATCTCTAGCTTCACCTGGACTTCAAGGTGTCAAGATCTCTAACCTGGGGGAGTGAGTTTACATCCAAGGGGGTAATTGGTGGCCACACATCCTGCTCCTCACTTCCTTCTCTGCCTTCTGCCTGGGAATCAGAGAGCCTGATTACAGGCTCTTGCTGTGAACCTCCCCTCTCCTCCCCCTCCTCCACCTCTGCAGTTACATGGATTTGATTTGGAATTCAATGACAGGTAGTGATGTTGAACATCTATTCATGTACTTACTGGCATTTGTATACTTTTGGAGAGATACTGACAGTTGTGCTGTTTTTTTATCTAATTAGTATTTTATGTATTCCGGTAAGAGTCTTGCCAGATTTTCAAAATTTTTCACCCATTCTGAATTCTTTCCATTTTCTTTTTTTAAAATTTTTGTTACTATAGCGTATGTGCTTGTATGTATGGTATGTGATCACACACAGGCCACAACGTGCAGGGGAAGGTCAGAGAACAACTTTCAGGAGTCAGTTCTTTCTTTCCATTGTGGGTTCTTGGAATCAAACCCAGGTCACCAGGCTTGCATGGCAAGCACCTTTTCCCACTGAGCCATCTCACCAGCCCCAACATGGCCTCCTGATGCAATTAACAGAGGCAATAAATAAGAGATATATGAGCCTGATGCTGGAGAAGTTTAGCAGTAAACTTTTTTTATAAATAGTAAGAGCATACATTAAGCCAATGATAAATGTATAGTACAGTAAATACATTAAGCAGAACCATAGTCATCACTATCATTATCAAACATTATGTATTCCACATAATTATATACACTGTACTTTTATCCCACTGACAGCACAGAGTGGCATGGCTTTTCCTGGGGAGAATGAACAAATGTCTATTCACCCCACTTAGGTCACTGAAAGAAATGATTTTATGCATGTCTAGCTTGGTGAGCCAAAGAGTTTACCAGGGATATATTATTGTTTAATGGTGTTATCTATTGGAAATATCATTTACAGGAACATGGGTGACCCACATAACTCACAAAAGCTCCATCACTGGACTTCCATGCACACCACACAGGCAGTTCCACAGAAGGCTCCCTGTACCCTGGCAATTCTTTGCTGCACAAGTAACAGTGGGGATGTTCCCTGGGAGTCTTGCAACTTTCTGAAGAGTTTCCTGAGCCACCGTTTTAACATCCTCCTCCATTCCCTCCATAAGGCAGTGTTTCAGTTCTGAGGAGGAAACCGCTATAGAATAGTTGACCTGTTCACACTGGCATCACCATAAAAACATGGATCATGCATATTAGTCCAATGCTAGACTGGCTACATCACCAGGTAAGAGGAATTTTTCTGCTCTATTTAATGCAGTTGTTAGCATGGTGCGTGACTGGATCTTCATTTGTATAAATCAAAGTCACTGTCATACTATTCCCCTTTGCAGCTCTTACATACATGTTCACTGGTGCCTCTCTGGCTTTCTGCATGCTCACTTGTACTATGAAATACTGTCTCTGTTGTGAATCTTGAGGAGTCCTGTGATGTACAGCTGTTTTAGCTGACACTTTCTGCAGTAACCCTCCCTTTTGTATCTCTGGGCAGCAGCATGATATTCCCTCTCAGTTGCACTTTTAAATTTTTACTAAGGTTTTTTTGGGCATATACTCACACACACACATAAATAATAAAAATAAAAGTTTGGGTGGGGTGTCGGGCATGGTGGTGCACGCCTTTAATTCCAGCACTCAGGAGGCAGAGACAGGTGGATCCCTGTGAGTTCTAGGCCAGCCTGGTCTCCATAGTGTATCCAGGCCAGCTGGGGCTACAACGAGACCCTGTCTCAAAACGGGCCAAAAAGAAAGGGAAAAAAAAATTGGGTGGGGAGTGGCTTTTTTGAGACAGGGTCTCCTGCAGCCCTACCTGGCCTGGAACTCACTATGCAACTGCCAGGACAGGCCTATAATCCTGCCACTCAAAAGACACAGGCAAGAGGATCACCAAAAGTCAGAAGCCAGCCAGGCCTTCACAGGGAGTTCTAGGCCAGCCAGTTAGTTACATGGCGAGATCTTGTCTCCGAAATGTAAAAAAATGGATACAAACTAGATCACACTTTCCATCTGCC